TTAGATGTGCCATTTTAAGACTCGATTACTCACATTAAATATGCTAAACTGTATACCCCTAAATTTCTTATTTCTAAGAAAATGAATGCCCTCCACAATATTAATTCATTCCCTAAAATAAATTTGCCTATATTATTAAGCTCCTATAATGCCATCATTCAGGTAGTATTTAACCAAAAATTCTTATGTTGCTATTTAGCTTTCATCTGTACATGAAACAAACGCTGTTAACACTCCTTGGAGAAAAAGCTTGATACTTCCTTGGATTCAGTAGTGATCGCCATGCTTACTGCAAACAGACAAAGTATCCTGTTGCTGGATACCACAAAAAACATTACTGGATTTCCAAGTTTTATCTATTGAGTAGCTGTGATAATCATGCCAAACAGTATGCACTCTGTCTATCTATGTTTTCCAATTCAGTCTCTATGTGAAAACCCACAGTGCATACTAGAAAAGGCCGGTGGCTTCTATCAATATTTAGAAATCCATCCACCCTAACACACCCAGTAGGAAAATCTCGGCATAAAAAGATGTATGTGGAGGAATGATTTATAATGAGCCTTACTTTTAGGAATTCAAGACCCACAGCCAGGAATTTTTTTTACTTTTATGCAATGTTTTAAAAAAAATTGCTGTCATAAACAGAAAGAAAACAAAGGTCATTTTTTTTCTGTTTAAGTTCATTTACACTAGAGAATAGCAATTATTACATGCCTAAATCTTTCTACTCTCTGAATTAAGGATTCTTTAAATTGCTTCAAGTTAAACTTTTCTAAAGTTTTATATATCTACTCAATTAATTAAAAAAAAACCTTTAAGCATGTCTGAATGTTTTAGTTTATAGAAGTACTAAAGAGACAGTATTTGCTAAAAGCCCGTCTGTTGTATCAGAAAACATTTCATTTATATTATACAAGAGTCACATTCTGTTAAGTGAACCACTTTTATTATATTAAAATTTAATTATTTTAATGTACAGGTGTTTTGCTGCATGTAGGTCTACGCATCAAATGTATGTCTCGGGTATATTCAGAGACCAAAAGAGAGTATTAGATCCCCTAGGACTAGAGTATCAGATGGCTGTGAGCTGCCATGTGGGTGCTGGAAATCAAACCTGTGTCTTCTGAAGGACAGCTAGTGCTCTTAACCGTGAGGCCATCTCTCCAGCCCTGTGAGCCAGCTCTTAAATTATATCACTTGCAAGTCCATATACTTACAGTAGCATGCCACATCTACTTCCAATTTTAGCAAATATTCAAGTATAATCAAGGAAGAAACCATTCATGCTATACTTTATAATTCCTTTTTATTTTTAGTTTTGCTTTTCCTATTTGGATTTTTTTTTTTAATTCTTTAACAATTTCATATGTGTACACAATGTATCTTGATCCTGTCTAGCCCCAACAACTCCTCTCACATAATCTGGCCTCCTTTCTAAGACCTATTAGTCAATCTTCATGGACTATTCCAAATACCACCAAATAATCTTTAAAGTAATGAGCTAGTTCCTCCTTACTGTGACCCAGCTCCACACTCTAGCCTTAATTGTACTTTGTACATATCACCTTATATTGTAATCACTTTGTCTCTTCCACTCAGTAGTTTGCTTGGTACAAATATATCCACCCCCACCAACATACCAAGCTGTGACTCTTCCGCTTCTTCCTCTGAGCTCACTTGGCCACATGCCTCTCTTTCAGATCTCATCTTTGTGCTTTGCCTCCCTCTCTCACTTTAGGCAACCTCAACCCAACCTAACATGGTAGTCCCGTTCACTAGGCTGCATTCACTTATTATTTCTAGTGTACATCCTATACCTACTGTAGCATTTAATGGTTAGTAACTTTAAATATCTTTTTATGAGTATCAGCACTGTTAGAGATCAGGTTAAAAGCTGCAAAGATTTTTGAGTCATCTATTTCACCTGCTTGTTTTCCATTAACTGTCGTTTTAAGTAAGTAAGAGTTTTTCAGAAATTTATGTATTACAACATGACATAATTATTTGATGAAATGGAAGTGGAACATGGTGTTTTCAATAGGCCTTGTACTTTCAGCCATTTATCACACATTTTCTGAGTATCATCATGAAAAGGGCCACTGCTCTAGCCACTGGATATCTAAAATCTCATAGACTGAGAATGAATGTGCATGTATTTGCTACACATACATTTTTACATATTCAACTCATCAATATTGAATTTAGTGTTTTTACATTCATTTTAATATCTACTTTCAGTGGTCTTCAAAGCTTTTCAAAAAACCAGTTGCTTTCTAAGAGAAATCTTAAGAGAAAACAACAACAGAGCAAAGCATACATAACTCTGCAGGTCCAACAATGCTCTAGCAGCAATGCCCAGCCTTGCATGGCCCTTTCATAACTGTGAGCTGAGAAACTCAACCCCATCTCGTAAACTTTTAGTTGAGGAGTTATTGCCTGAATGCTCCACACAGCTTTTCCTTTTCCCTTTTCCTTCCCTCTGGGCATCTGTGTTAGCAGGAACTTGAGTACTTCTCTCAGGCCTTTACCCCATGTGACTCAATGTGCTGGAGTGGGTTGGGGGGGGTTCCCCTTTTCTGAGGCCTCAGAGAGAAGGAGAAGGAAGAGAAGGAGAAAAGGGTAGGACCAGGAGGAGAGGAGGGAGATGGATATGATCGTGATATAAAGTGAATGAATAAAATTAAATTAAAAAGAAAAAGAAAGTAAGGGGGAAGTCAAGCTCTCAGAAAAAAAAAAAAAACTCAGGTTAGAAAAGTAGGGTAAGCAGTTTGGACTTAACAGCAAATCATTGCTCTATCACAGTGTAAAAGACGAGATAAGGCTAGATGTGAAAGCTTAAGAGAAAAAGGGGCTGCTTATCTTAGAAAAGCCTTAAGCTACAAGGAAACAAACCAGATATACTCTGACTGATTAAAGAAGATTTACTCATTACAAAGTCCCTAGATGGGAAGCAAGAAGACTCTGAGGACAGAGTCCCATCAGGTGGAGATTTATTGACACATAAGGCAGACTCTTCTCTCTAAGCCTTATCTTGTAAGGAGCAGGTGTGATAAAGAAGTCATTTGACAATACTTTAGAACACAGTAAGTGACATGGAAACAACACAATAAGAAGAATCGTGATGTCAGAAAACCAAAGTGCAGAAAAGAAAGTAGACCACAATGGAAGACTGACCCTTGATAGACTTTAAAGAAAGGAACAGGGGAACCAGTCAAAAGGACATCTGTATTGCACATTGTAAAACAGGAAATGGCTGCTCTAATCTGGATGAAAGTGAAGGAGATAAGACAATAGAAAAGGTAAAAAAAAGAGGTGACTGTGATTGAGGCATGGGTTTGGATGCAGAGAACGGGCTTAATGTGCTTTGTGAAGATATTTGCTGGATTTTTTTTTTTTTTTTTAACTCTGAGCCACTTTAGGGTGCTGAACAGCTCAGATTTATATTTTGAGTAAACTGTTTTGCTAAGTGAAAAACATGTCACAGGACACAACACTATAATGAGGCGCTATCACCACACATACGTTCCTTTGGCATATTTTATTCAAGGTGCTTACTTAGAGACATTGTAGCTCTCTACCGGAAAGGCTATGAAAGGCTGTCCTTTTGTAAAACCAAGGCTACAAGTCTACAACAATTTACATAAGCAAAATAAATGAAAAACATAGACAGTGATATTTTTGACATCTCCTATCTGCCTTGACAAGATTTTTTCCCCAAGAAAAAAGATTTCAGATATAATCAGCCATGCAGTCTACGACCTGTCAAACTCCATTTGAGTGACACAGCTCCTCCTAGAGAGTGTCCAGCCAGTTCTTCACAGCCACATGTCCACCTTTGTATGTTGCCATTTCCAGATGTTGCCATCAATAATTTAGTAAACTATTTATTTATTTGTTTCTGTAAAAGCCTGGTCAGTTTCTTAGTTTCATTATTCATACTTGGAAAAAACACATGCCATAACAACTCTTTGGCATTTATAAAATGTAAAAAGGGGATAGCTTGGTTAATTGATACTGAAAAACAAAATAAACTGAATAAACTTTTGAAATTGCTTAACTTTTAGTAACTTCCTCATATTAGTGATGAGCTTAGGCTTTATGTCATAAGATTTTTGTGCTGCACAAAATTATTGTCCACAAAATAGCTGGTCAACTTAGAAAAAAAAAAGGAATAAAATACAAATTACAAAAATTTCTCCTGCAAGTTCAGGAGTCCAATTATAGTGTCACTTTTTTTATGGTTTCAGCTAACAACAGTCCATCTCATTATGAAAATATTGATGAAAAATTCTAGAAATAAACAACTCAGTAAGTGTTAAATGAGTGTCCTAAGTAGTAGCACAAAATCTCATGCTTTTCTGGCAAGAATGTAAATTATTCCTTTGTCCAGATATCTGCACAGTAAACGCTACCTGCTCTGGTATCAGTTAATAAGCAACATGCCTCAGAACTTTTATTTATGATTCAATGTTACAATTGTTCCACTTGTTATTTATTATTGCTATTAATCTCTTACTGTGCCTAACTTATGACCTGTACTTTGTTGAAGAAGTATATACCTATCAAAAACAACATGCACCAGCTATCTTCACTACAGGTCTTGGCACACAGCCTTGGTACACAAGGGAGACTACATTAGCACAGTTCACAGAGGACTTCAGGAAGATTAAAATTCCTGGGCTCCTGAGGACGTTAGACATTCACAACTGAAGAGAAAACCTGTTTCCTTTTTTTTTAACTTGATAAAACATTTATAAAAATACTATGTAATACTCACATGATGATCTCAAACCAACATTATCTTATTCAGTCTATCAAATTATCTAAAAATAACCTGTAACTTAATGGATCTAAGAAAGTTTTTTTAACGTAAATATTCTCACAGAAACATGATCTTATACTAGTTCTGTATAACTATATGCAATTAGTAGGGCTGCCAATGAAAGCAGAGCAGAAGCAGACAAGCAGAGAGGCTCCAGACTACTGCACAGTTTTACCTTCTGATGTTTTCCACTGTTTCCACAAATCCTCAACAGTTATGTGCTTATCTTCCCTGTGAAGATGGCTATGTTTATTTGTAGCATCTTTATATTTCATATCTTCTCTGATAAACTATAAAAGAGAAAACATCGAGTTAAATATAAGTAAAATCCTGATAGACTAAAACAAACAAACAAGTAAAAAATTACATGTAGTGACTTTTTTAGATACTATACACTGCTGGGATTTTAAAGACATTTTCTCATGATGGTTAAACACACAAAATGTTTTCTAATCACAAGAACACAGGAAGTAAAAGTTTTTCTTCAAAGTTCATGACTCACTATATATTAGTCTCAGTACATATTAGTAGATGGTTATACTGTATGTAACTACACATTGCCACAAATAAAGACACCAAAAGCCATAACATCTAAACTTCATGATTGTCCTGTAAGGAAAGCACTATTTTTGTTTTATAAATGGGAAACCAAGGCTGAGGGAGGTTAAGTAACATGCCTGAGACTAAAACAATGGACAATCACGAAAGAGGGAGAAAACGGGGAACAAGACAGGAGCCTACCATAGACAGCCTGAGAGACTCTACGTAGCAGTGTATCAAAGCAGATGCTGAGACTCATAGCCAAACTTTGGGCAGTGTGCAAGGAATCTTATGAAAGAAGGGGGAGATAGAAAGACCTGGAGGGGACAGACAGGAGCTCTACAAGGATTGCAACAGAACAAAAACAAAAGAAAAACAAAACAAAACAAACAAACAAACAAAAAAACAACTGGGCCCAGGGGTCTTTTCTGAGACTGATACTCCAACCAAGGACCATTCATGGATATAATCTAGAACCCCTGCACAGATGTAGCCCATGGCAGCTCAGTCTCCCTAGTAAGTGGGTTCCCTAGGAAGAGGAACAGGAGCTGTCTCTGACATGAACTCAGTAGCTGGCTCTTTGATCATCTCCCCATAAGATGGGAGCAGCCTTACCAGTCCACAGAGGAAGATAATGCAGCCAGTCCTGATGAGACCTGACAGGCTAGGGTCAGATGGACTGGGACGAAGACCTCCCCTATCAGTGGACTGTGGGAGGGGCATGGGAACAGACAAAGGAGGGGGTTACAGCTGGGATACAAAGTGAATAAATTGTAATAAGTAAAAAATAATAATAATAATAATTAATTAAAAAAAAACAATAGACAAGTATTGAGACTCCAAACAAAGTCATAGCTACAGTCAAGCACATAGTTCAGCTACTGTCCCAATGGTACATTTCTGACAATCAGTGATGACATATTTCCAACTATGGCTAACACTGATTTCAATCACTTTTTACCATAATTTTGTATTCTTCTACTGTCTAAACTATTACTCATAGGAAAGCTGGCTACGATGTAATAACTAGCCTTTTTATAAACCTATACATAGCCTTATTAATCATGTTAAAATATTTAGAGAAAAAGCAGCAAACTTAATCTCTGCTAAAAATTTTAAACAGGTCTTTACTATTTCTTTTCCACTGCCCAACAAATAAAAAGCGAATTCTATTATATGTACCCTATAAACCGTTCTTTAGGCTTTATCTCTTCAAACTTCCTCCAAATAACACCACTATTATAATTATACAAAAAAAAAAGAATAAATTGTACTTTCTAACGCAACATTTCTTTTTTTTTTTTTCTTGTTTTGTTATTTTACTTGGTATCTATATTGACCATTCCTTGGTTTCAATAAACTATTCCTTGGAAGAAGTCCAGAGCTGAAGAGAAAATTGAGACCGAAAACCGTGATGATAGACCAAGCAGAGAGGAAGTCAGTCTTGGAAGCAGTCCAGTCAGCTGGAACAAATAGCAACTGTTCCATTTATGGGACACACATCCAAAAGAATGTCCCCGGAAATGCTCTTTACTGTGTGAGCACTAATAACTGAAAAGGGCAGTTCTGTGGTTTCAGAAATGAGCTAATTTCCATGTAGATGAGCTGTGATACTTGTTAATATTTGAGAAATTACAGAATGAGAGAGAGAGAGAGAGAGAGAGAGAGTGTGTGTGTGTGTGTGTGTGTGTAAACATGTGCTTAACAAATCAAAGGAGGTGGCAGTAATGGAACACTTGTGATATGGAGGAAAAGCGGGAAAAAGTGGAAAGGAAAGTTTAGGTGCAAAGAGGGACAGAAGAGCAAGGCAGAAAGGGAATGATGAGAATGATAATACCACTAAGAATCTAAAAACTGGAGGTTTCATTTGCAAACCTACGACTTTATAAACTTCATATGTATTTTTTTTTTCATGTAGAGGGTTTAATCAGAGTTTCCCTACACAGGATAAAATAGGTTATCAAATAAAAACCCTAGTCCCAAGTGTCAGATACCTCCTCTGGAGTTGTTTGGGGTGTTCCAGAAACTACCAAAATAATAAAATAATCATTTTCTTAAAGAAATCTAAGTAAAAACTAAACAGGTAGAATTATACTTTTTCTAGTATTATCTAAAAATTCTTTTGCCTTAAAAAATTGATGATAAGCTGGGCAGTGGTGATGCACTCCTTTAATCCCAGCACTCAGCAGGCAGAGGCAGGAGTTCAAGGCCAGTCTGGTCTACAAAGCAAGTTCCAGGAAAGCCAGGGATACACAGAGAAACCAACCCGTTTTCAAAAACCAGAAAGAAAATAAATAATCACAGGATAATAAAACTTGCTACAAATAACTCAAAGGCACATTCTCCACCTTAAAGATCTTTGCTATTCTTACCAGAGAACATAACTAAAAAACACAAGAAGATTTATTTCCTGTAGAAAGAAGTAGAAAATGTTAAAGTGAACTGACCATGTGCATATGAAAGCATATCTGGTTCCATTAAACTCTTTTCTCTGTCCACAGAATACACAATTCTGCTGCTCAGAATTCTCTCAGGCATTACAGAAAAGTACTGATTTGATGAAGAAGGCCAACTAGAGGAATTTTGAAAATAACAAATAACTAAAAATACATAAGCAAAAGACAACTATCTTCTAGCTAACTGAAATTTGAAAGGAAAATCTGAAATTCAATTAAGTAAATAGTATCCCTGGTAGAGATGTCCAATCATATACAAACCTACTCCAAGAAATCCTAAGATGACAATACTAATAAAAAACTGCTCTATGAATAAGTACTTACTGAATATACTTTTCAAAGAGATTCACACAGATGACTCTACAAAGTAAACTCTTCTAGTACCACTATAAATAAAATACATTGCTTTACCTATCATTGTAGGAATTCATGTCATATGCTCTTTTCCGTTTTGCACCTACTATATATATTTGTAATATTGTTTCTGTGACTCTGCTGTAATAAAACCTAATACGTATTATTAAAACTACTCTCTGGATGTTCTATTTAGTTCCAGCCCTTTCTCCTGGGAACTACTAGATAAATAAAGACCCATGCATATATTCAGTCACTCCTCCCCGAATATATTACCTATGTCCACAGCTACTTAATCAGAGTGTAGATAGCTCCCCTAAAAAGAGGACAAAGTGGAACTATACAAGGATAACAATTTTTTTTTCTCACAGAAAAACTGCAATTAAAATCATGAAAAGCGATGCTCCTTGGCCATGATTCCGGATCTTCAAGGACATAAATACTCTTGATTCTGAAAGCACCATAATACAAGCAGTCACAATGGACCAGATGAAGTAGAACAGATGAAGACAATAAACATGCAGAGAACAAATAATGACAATAGCAGAGATAAGCACAGAGAGCAAGAGAGAAGAATGGAAGCACAGGCCGCACCAGTGTTCAATGACTTCCTACTTTCAGTTCCTAGACTGCACAGGTTTTATTCTGAGTTCATTATACAAATCTGGACCCTTGAAGCCTCAGTACTCAAGAGACATGACTTATCACCCCAGTTAAGCACTCAATACTGTGGAATCTGATACACATTCAAAATCTGACTACTTCTGTCAGACATTTGCAGGCTACTTAACCTCTCTTTTCGTCTCGCACTTTCCAATATTACAGAATTCCACTTCAAATACCTAAAACAAAACATACAAGACTGAGATGTGAAAGAAAACTACAGCCTCTTCGCTGATGATGGAAGAGAGAGAATTTCCCAAAGGACACGTCATCAAAATAATGCAATGTCCAATATCTGAAAAGAGAGCCATTATGGCAGATGGGTTCCTTAGAAACAACTGCAGTGTCTTCTTTTCTTGAAAATATCATAAAGTAGCTTAGTATAGGATCTTAGAAAAAGGAATATACAACAAAAAATTACCATGCCCACTTTGTTTAATATTTATTAATTTGTGTGTGTGCTCATGCACATGACAGCATCAATGTGGAATTTCAGGACAACCCAAAGGAGTTTCTCCTCCTACCATTTGGATTCCAGGATCAAACTCAAGTCATGAAGCTTGGCAGCATTACCTGTTTAACCACCTCACCAGCTACATTCTCACTTCTAAAGTTGAAATACACCAAAACTGATGATCTCAGTTGAATACCCAGAAACCACAAGGTAGAGAGAGGAGGTCCTATGACCATCACAGGTGAGCTGTGGCACACATGTGCCCCATACCAATCACCCAATCAATAAATATAATTTAAAAGTATAAAAACACAAATGGACTATGTTCTCACATAACTAATAACAAAAGGTAAATTATTTAAAATGTGAAAACATGCCTTCAGTTCCTAAGTTCAGCTATTTCAACTCAATGCTAATTAAAACCTGAAAATCACTTGGGCAGTTTACACTTTAACACAAGCATAAGGTTATTCTGCCCAGTCAGTTACAAGCTAACTCCCTGCTGAAATGGCAACAATTCAAAACACTTTTCCTATTCCCTGAGCTACCACAACCCATCTGACAAACCAGAGTTTACCTGTAACAAATACACCAAAATGACCTCTTCAAATCCATTCTCAAAAGAGCTCAGACCCAACAAGCCTCATAATTACTGTCAGCACTAGTAAAGGTTGGTCAGACCTTAGCCATTATTTATAATACTGATTCAATAAGCCAGTCAAATGGACAAAAGATAGATGATTCAAGCAAATTAATTTACAAAAAAGCTGAGGAACACAATGGGTTTTGTTGTTGTTGTTGGGCGGGGGGGGGGGGGGAGAAA